GGACTACAGTTCAGACTTCACTGACTCTCGGTGTGACAAATATTCCACACTAATGTGACATGTGAGAACGGGGGAGGAGGATGCTGGGATTCTGGGCTCCTTTTCTCTCTCTTCTCTCTCTTTGAAACACTTCTAGAAAGGAGAGAGTACAAGAGGGTACCTGGCTCACACATGGCCAACCTGGGTTTGATCTTGGCATCCCGTACGGTCCCCTGAGCACCGCCTGGGCAGAGAGCCAAGAGTAAACCCTGAGAATTGCTGGGTATGACCCCCACCCCAAAAGTAACAGAACGAAAAACAACTCCTCAAATGAAATGCTTCTAGAATGACAAGTTTATTAATGGACAAAATGAAAAATTCTCTGAGGAGTTCTCATGGGGCTAAGAATAAAATTCAACTTAAAAACAATTTCTCTGCAGGAGTGTGTGGGGGGCCCCGGTGAGCAAAGATGAAAAGTTGTGAGCACTGCAGACCCCCCTCTGCATGTGCCTGAGCCCCCAACACCCCAGAGAGCCCTATAGTTGGAAGATGTGCCAACATCCCAACTGACTGTGTGGGACCCCCAGGAAGCACCACAACTGGTATGTGGGACCCTCCCAGTCATCAACACAGCCACAAAGGAGAGGGAAGATGTAAAAAGAAAGAAAGAAAGAAAGAAAGAAAGAAAGAAAGAAAGAAAGAAAAAGGGGGTAAAAAGATAGTTGACACTGCCCTGTGGGACCTGCTGGCCCCACCCACCCCTCCTCCTGCCCCCTGGCCAAGCTGGTTCTGGGGCACCCAGGGCTATTGCTGCTGCTGCTCTCTGCCCTGCAGGCTCTTCTTCCGCCAACCCCTCCCCTCCTCTCCTCTTCCCTCCCCTCCCCACCCCCTCCTCCTGGCCCACCTCTTCCTTCTCCCACCTCCTTCCCTCTCCCTCCCTGCATGTCTCCTGTCCCTCCCCTCTCCTTTTCTCCTTCTTACCTCTCTCCTTGCTCTCCCCTCCTTTCTCCCTTTCCCCTCTCCCTGCCCTTTCCCCTCCTTCCTCCTCATTCTCCCTCCCCTCCCCTCCTCTCCTCCTTCCCTTTCTCCCCTCTGTCCTCCCCATTCCCCCTTCTTCCTCCCTCCCTCTCACTTCTCTCCCCTATTCTCTCCTTCCTCCTGTCCCTTTCCCTCCTTCCCTCTTCCATCTTCCCCCACCTCCTTTCTCCCTCTTTCCTCTTCCTTCTCTCCCTTTCCTCCTCCCCTTCCTTCCCATCTCCTCTTCTACACCCTTCTTCCTCCCTCTGTCTCTCACCCTCTTCTTCCTCACAGTCTCTCCTTTCGCTCCCTCTCTCAGTTCTTCCTTCCCAACCTAACTTCCTGTCCTTTCAGTCACAACTTCACTGTGACCTCCTTTAAATTAAAAGCCACCTCCAGCGCTAGGACACCTGTACCTTCCGAATCCGTCCAGCACCCACATTTATCTCTGGGTCTATAAAGGCATTTGCATGTCTGTTCGCCTGGACTCCCAACTTCCTCCACAGGACAGGCTAATACCTTATTGATCTCTGTGACCTGCACTCCTGGCAGGGAAGAGGCGTGTGGACCATGGATGAAGGAAGGCCAAGCTCACATCTGGGAAATGCACAGAGGCTGGCTTGTCCCTATCCCCACAGCCCTGCGTCTGTCCTTAGAGTGCAATCTTTCCTGGTGCTTGCTTATACCCCATGTCCTGAGGCCCCACCCCGTCCTAGTCCTGCTCATCCCAACAACAATAATGAAGGCCAGACATGGAATCATGTCTGCAACTGAGTTCAATTTTGCCTGGATCTTTTTCTTGTCAACGCTGTAAGGAAATCGCCCGAAATAAAATGATGTTGTCCAAGGGCCCCCATCCTCTTCTTCGTGAGGCTCCTTAAACTCGCTGCCTGTCCTTCAGCTCCCCCTTCGTGCCTGGCAGAAATTATTGCTCCGGACATATTACTGTGCAGGCGAGCGTGGTGGCATGATTAGGACCCAAACCTAATGCAATCGTTAGCACACTTTCTAAAGCAGCCTTGTCCAAACCTTGCTTTTTGTTGTTGTTGTTAAAGAACCAAAAGTAATTAGTGTGAGGATAGAGAAACTCCACAGAGAGCAGAGAGGTTTATTGCCTTTGTCTTTCCTCTTGGTAGCAAGGAGGGGGAAATGAGAGTCTTTGAGGAAGAAGCTACTGATTCTTTTGCCCCAAAGCATCCTACTCTGGTCGGATCTGCGTTATTTGGAGAACTTTCCAGAAGGAAACAGTATGCCTTTGTGCTTTGGGCATCTTCCCAATTACCTGGGCTGACTGCGCAGAAACGTTTCTTCTCCTTGTGAAGGTTGTTTTCCAAAGTGATGAGTGAGTGACTTTGCAGGGGCGGGGGGAGAAGGGGAGTAAGTGGATGGGGAGTGGATGGTTCTGGTTTGGGGAAGATGAGAAAGTGATAAGTGATGAGGAAGGAAATGGGGGTGTCATAGTCCCACACTGAGCACAAAGCTTCTGATTGGGCACTTCACTAGAGCTAAGATGGTCCCTTTTAAGGCTCTGTCTCTTCTGCCATGATAGAGACTTTTATTTTTTTAATTCCAACTCAAAAGCAGCCACAACATTCTAATAGGAGCGAAGGTCAGTTACACATCAGATTTTATTTAAAAAATTATGGGTAATCAGAGAGCGGAAATTAAATGAGTCAAAACAGTAACAGATCATTTTGGAGTGGGAGTGATTTCTGCTGTCTTCTTAGGGCTTTCTGTAGTTGAACAATTACATATTCAGCAACGTGTTCGTATATCTCTGTAATAAGATAATGTGTAGACATCTGACATGGTGAATGGACTTAAGGTCATGGAACCATTGCACTTGAAAGTGATTCTGATGATAGGATCGTGGAGAGAGATCAAAAGGCTGGAGCACAAGCTTTGTATGCAATGCCCTCCAGTTCAATCCCTGGTGCCACGTGGCCTCTCCCCACCCCTCCTAACCTGGATCTCATTGCCTGACTTGAGCACTGAATCTCTCAACCTGCTCAGCTTGGGGCAGTACCAGGAATGGTCCCAGGGCCTCCCGAATAAAACCAGAGCAGGTGTGGTGGTTATAATTTTTGAGATATGTAGATATTTTTAAAAGAAAATATTTATGTTTGCTGTTTGGGTCGATTTGCTCGAGCGGGCCCAGTAACGTCTCCATTGGAGTTTGGGTCATACCCAGCAATGATCAGGGGTTACTCCTGGCTCTGCACTCAGGAATTACTCCTGGCTGTGCTTGGGGGACCATATGGGATGCCAGAGATTGAGCCCAAGTCAGCCGCATGCAGGCAAATGCCCTACATGCTGTACTATCTATCACCCCGGCCCCTAGATATGTATATTTTATCATAATAAATATACGCTTAATGAAAAAAGGACACTGGACTAGAATGCTACCTCTCTGGATTTTATTAAGGTCGATGTCTTCATTTGCCATCCTCTCCTCCCCCCATCCCCAGCTGGAGTCCACAAGATCGATAGCAGATTTCTGGAGTGAAATTGAGGAGCTGAAAGACACCAGGTATGGGTTAACTGTTTATAGTTACAATCAACGATTTTTGACTCCTTCAGATCAAGTGAGAAGCTCAGTGCAACAGGTGGCAGGTTCTTTTCCTTCAGAGTTCATTCAGAATTTATTATGATTCAAATTGAGGCCAAGTTAAAGTGAACCCTCCTATTTTCTGCAGAGTAACGGTGGCTGTGTGATAGAACACGCATGATTTCTAGAGGAACAATCACAAATCTTTAGAAGAGAAACTGTTTTCAGGAACACAAAGACAACCCTGGCCCTCTGACATTCATTATGAAGATAGACGTGCTGCGTTTGCATGGTGTGTGTGTGTGTGTCTGTGTGTGTGTGTGTCTGTGTGTGTGCTTACCTTCTGAGGTGTGCTGCTCATGGTTTTATTTATGGCACTGTCAGAAAAGTCAGGTGCAAGTGGATTTCCTTTTCAAATGTGGAGCCCGTCCTGGAGCTGGAACTGCAGGGTGCCTGAGCCCGTGTGTACCTGTGTATGTGGTGTGGGCCCTAAAGCAGGGGGAAGGCCTGGCTCCAGGGCAAGAGGAGTCTCTCGAAGGAAGTAGAGCAGGTGGGAGCTGCCCCAGGGTGACTTTGTTCCAGGGGTGTTATGGAGCCTGGAGCAGGGCAGAAGCCTGAGATACAAAGAGTGCTGAGGTTGCTGGGCGAGTTGCACACCAACACCCACCAGCTGGCAACTCCAGGGGGCGCCAATTCCTTGAGCAGTGCCCGCCTGCCTGTCCCTTGCCTGGTAGCCAGGAGGTACTGGTGCCAGCACCCCAGAATTGAGGGACCCTGCACCCTCATCTTGTGTGTCAGTTTGAGGGGGCGGGGCGGGTTATTTAGGAAAGGGCAGAGAGGTGTGAAATAGCCCTTGCAGACAGGAAATCAGCCCAGCTGGACACAGCAGTGGGATCGGGACAGTGGCTACCTGAGCCCGGTGGCTGCTGGGCAGTTTGAAGCCCGACTGTGTGTCTGCTGGCTGGCCTCCTCGCCACCCGCCACCCGCAGGAAAGCCCAGGGGGCTGGGGAGCCAGGGAGTGAGGGATTAGGGAAGGGGCAGCTCTCCCGAGGGGGCCAGATCTTGTCTCAATGTTCTTTTACAGAAACTGAGGTTCTCTGCCACAGAGGTAGGTTTCCATGACCTCTCGGAGCCTCCTTACTCACCTGTAAGGCGGGTTGTTTGTTGGGAGGATTGGGAGAGCCAGCCCAGGGCTCAGAAGGTACGGAGCGGTCACTCTGTCTGTGGCTCTGACCAGCATCTGGCCCCCAGAGCACCCCGGGGGATGGGACCCTCTAGCCAGCCTTGCAGTCTCACGGGCACCTTTTATACAGTCTGAGCAGGGAGAAGGGGGCCCAGGAGACAGCCACCCCCCCCACCCCTGCTGCCACAACTGTCCCCACAACCCTGATGTGGTGGGTAGGATGAAGCCGGGGCTGCTCCTATAAACACTGGAGGAGGCCCCAGACACAGAGGCACAGAGAAACAAAGGACGTTTTATTTATGAAAGAAAAAGAAGCCAACAGAAAAAAAAATATATCTACCGGCTCGACAGGAGGGGGTGTTTAAATAAACCACGGTCCCTTCCACTGGATGGAATATTGTGCAAGTATTGAAATGATGTTTACCGAGGGTTTGTAATAACACGGGAAAACGCTTATTCTCAACAGCTAAGTGAAAAGAGGAAGCGACGGAACTGTATATTCAGCATAATCACACCTACGCGAAAATCAAGCCAAACACGAATTATACATGGAGGGAAACAGACGGAGGGACTTGCACCGCAGCGGGGGCTGTCTCCGGGTGGTGAAATTCAGGAGATTTTTTGGTTTCATACTCATCTCCATTTTCTAATTTTTCCCCCCACTCTATGGCATAGCTGGCCTTAGCATGGAAAGCAACCCAATGCCAAGGTTTATTTATTTATTTTTTTAACGCCTGAAGCAGAAAGTGTTTTTATTGGGAAAGCAGGGTTGACAACCCAGGCCGAAGCCAAGTGACACTCAGGTCACTGAGAGGCGAGTGGCTAAAAGTCAACCAGACTGCTCAGCAAGGTCAAGTGGAAATTCAGGACTAGCAACTCATCCAGGGCCATGGCAGGTGGCCTCCACCACACACTCAGGCCTCTGGGATAGCCTGAAAATGCGGCGACCCTCAGCCCTCAATGTGCAGATGGGGGTGAAGCTACTCAACGTCCAAGGAACCTCTGGGACAAATGTGGTGGAATGGGTGTCCTTCCCTTTGAAAGGCTATTGCGGAACAACTGGACTCCTGGCCTCTGAGCTCACTGCCAGGCAGTCACTTGGCAGAGTCCTGCGCCCCATTTCCCACCCCTGCCCGGCCCCTGGCGTGGCACAGTGCTTCGGGGGGGGGGGCAAGGTTGGCCTTTCTGATCTCCTTATGAACCAAGGTCCGTGCAGGCCTCTGCTAGAGTCTCCTTTCTGATGATGTGCTGGCCATTCACGTTCACCGTTAGATAGGAGCTTTCCTCAGGGCCCTACGGGAGGTCTTGGTTCTTTTCATTTGTTTGTGTGTTTGTTTATAATTGCCTGTCTTTCTCCTCTAGGGCAAGGTCGGGCTGCCAGTCCAGCACCTGGAAAACGGTGGCTGGCTACTCATCTGGAAATGAGCTCTGACTGCTGGGCCGGGTGGTCTTGGCTGCCCCTGAGAGCTGCCTTCCCGGCCCATAATAGCCTGGACCCTTCCCAGCCCCCTAAACCCAGCTCCAGAGACCCAGCTGAGAAACAGCTCCTATCTACCGGTGAACGGCTAGCTAAGGCAGCGCTGAGTGTAAGGGCTCAGCAGAGCTAGACAGAGGATGGAGGATCGATTGGTGAGGTCTGCCTCGGAGCCGTAGGCCCACCCCTCGGTTGTCCCTCTCAGCCTGCTCACCACAGCCACCACCCCGGGATCAAGCGTTATGCCCTACAACCTCTTTGCCCAGTTCCTGTGACAGGTTTGTAGCAGGATTCCGAGAGGGTTCCCAGAGTGACCCCTCATTCCCTAGGACACGTGCCAGCAGCTGGATAGACACTGGACCCAGCTGGGGTGTGGTCTTGTTCCCTCCCCTGTGCTTCATCGGCCCCTCCCCCCCAGCCAGGAGTCTGGAACTGGATTCACCTGCCACCCCTCCAACAACCAAGTGGGGTTCTCCTCTCCCCGCTCGGCTGCTGTCCTTATGCCAATGCTGCCTGCAGGCCAAGGAGGGGGAGTCTCTGCACCCCAGTCCCCCGCCATGGCTCCTCAGAGGGTCCTGCCTGGGAGCTGAGCCTGAGCAGGGCCTGGGTGGGGCATGCAGGGTCTGTCTCCCACAGGCAGTGTCAGTCTCGGCCACCTCCAGCTTAGGAACAGACCCAGCATGAGAAAGGCAATGGGGCCCCCCCGTGCCACCCGGGAAAGAGTCTCATCTCCATGCCCACCTGCTTCCCGTTCTTCCGTTCAGTCTTGCCTCTTCCTAAGTGACCCCCAGCCTTTGCACGAGCAGATGTGGGGGAGCACACTCTCCCCCTGCACCGAGAGAGGGAATTTCTCTAGTTGCTCTCATTCACCCACAAGATAGAGACCACACATGATTCTCGGCCCTTTCGGGACAGCGGGGCTGAGTCCAAAGCCTCATCTTGTGCTTGGGGCCGCCTCTAGGACCACCTACTGTCTGCATGCAGCTCGGCTCTTTAGAAGCAGCACCCCCGGCTCTCACTAGACCCCTGAGCACCCCTGCTTTCCTCTTTGCCTTACCCCTATCTTCCCCTGTCCCACGTCCCTTTTCTCCAGGTGAGCTGGAACTTCCCAATGTTGGAGTTCTTTGTTCCTTTGAGAATTTACCAAATCTGTTGCAGGGGGGGAGAGCCCAGACGTCCCTGGCCCACTAGAAGCTCCTGAAGTTCCTCCCCTCGCATGGCCCTGTCCCTCCTGGGTGTCTCCTGTCGCATGAGCCCAGTTATGTTCTCAGTCTCCCTCCAGCTCTGCCTGGTGAGGGGCTGACGGCCAGCAGCTAGGAGAACTGCACTGTGAAGGGTCTCCTGGACCTCATCGGCAGAATCGGTTGTGTTCTTAGTATAGACCGCACTGCCGGCTGTTTTCCAAATGGATGTTAAAAAGCGGTGGCGCCGCTTGCTTCCCCCACTCTTGGCCTCCAGGTCACGAGAAAGAGCCAAGTGGGCTTTTACTCTGCAGACTAGAGTCCCCCGGGGCAGTCTCGACTTAACTCTCTCCTGCTCCCGCCATCTCTCCCTCCGGGGGGAACGCAGGGACCCTGCGGGCTCCCTTTCAATTCAAGCTGTCCACTTCCTTCCACTTCCCCTGCCAGCGTGCAGCAGGGGGGGCTTCTGGGAACCGCCAAGGGAGGCTCTCGGTGGCTAACATTTGGGAAGGGGTCCTGGTAGCTTCGAGAGAGCTGGCCACTGGGCATCAGTCAGCACCTGGAATGTGGCTGTGGCAAGGCTATGTCCCAAGCCCTGATGGGGGCCTCCACCCTCTCCCCTAGTTCGGCTAAGAAGCTAGGTGGAGTGCCCGTGGGCTCTGCACGCAGCCCCTAGGACCATGGTCACACTGGACTTCTGTATCCCACCGAAGGGCTGTGGCCAGGGCAGGACTCACACCCGCCCCTTCCAGCCCCACACCTGGCTCAGCTGCAGCCCAGGTGGCCGTGGGCAGAGGGCCCCCGCTTCTGCAGGAGGAGTCCCACACCAGGAGGCACTAGACCCGGGTGTGGGGCACGTCGGGGCCAGGCAAGGTCAGGGCGGTCGGCAGGAGGGTGCCCCGCGGGGAGGGGAAGCCCCGCAGCTCCTTGGGCACAAACCTGGGCGAGACGTGGTCGGCCAGGAAGCACAGGGTGTGCCGGCGGCCTACGCAGTAGATGAGGCTGTCCACCACGGCGCACTGGAAGGCGTCCGGGTAAGGGGTCCGGTAGGTGGCACACTCATACCACAGGCCGGCGCTGGGGCTGCAGCGGTGCACGCTGATGCCCAGGCTGCGGTTGAGGTCGAAGCGGTAGAGGAAGCCGTCCACTGCCACCATCTCAGCCGTGCGGTCCTTGCCACCCGCCGTGGGGCCTGCCCGCCACTGCTGCTCCTGGACGGAGAAGCGGAGCAGCAGATAGCGGAGGCTGCCCCCTGTGACAAAGACCTCCCCTGCGCCTGCAGTGGCCGTGTGTGCCAGGGTGAAGGTGTCGCTGGGCAGCGGCGCCACCAGCGTCCAGCGGTCCAGGCGCGGGTCATAGCGCTCCACCGTGTTCAGAGACTCGCCCCCGATGGCGTACAGGCAACCGTCCAGGGCCACCAGGCGGCAGTGCGGCCGGGCCTGGTTCAGCGGGCTGGCCTCGCTCCAGATGCCCGTCAGTGGGTTGTAGCAGAAGACGCGGTTGGAGGGCCGCTGGCCGGACCCCTGGCGGCCGGAGACCACAAAGAGGTAGTTGAAGAGGCTGCAGAAGGCGCAGCCTTGGGACACGGCCTCTGGGGGCAGATGGGCCAGCGGGTGCCAGCCATCCTGCTCATCGTCATAGCAACAGAGGCGCCCCGAGTCCTCCTGCGGACACACGTCGGCCACCACCAGGCATGGGTGGCCGCGCAGCCGTCGCTGGAGGATGAGGTCCCGCTCCGGCTCACTCAGGCGGCCGTAGATGTCGGGGCAGCGCAGGACCTGGAGGTAGTTGTCGCTCATCACCTTGTAGGCCGCCTCCTTCAGGGCCTCCAGGTTCTGCTTCTTGGCCAAGGTCAGCACGTCCCAGCAGTTGCCCAGATCCAGGTGCACCTCCGAGGCCAGACCGGTGGGGTGAGGCAGGTGGAAGAAATTGCTCCTGGCCACCAGCTGCACGCGTGGCTCCTCGCAGCCACTGGCCGCCCCGGACTCCAGTGACTCTGAGGATCCGGGGAGGCCGGGCTGGGCGGGTAGGTCTGGGGAGGAAGGCACGGGCGCCCCAAAGCCGTCCAGCTGCAACTGTAACTCTGGGTTCTCCACAATCTGGAGGAGGCTGTCCTTCCTGCCCATGCTTCGCGGGGAGTCGGCGGCCGCCGGGGCCCCACCTCCAGTAGCACTGACCTGGCCTTTCTTGGCTGCCTCCGGGGCCTGGGGACTTGGCACAGGGCCGGGTGCCTCTGCCAGGGCCTCTGGCTCGAAGGCCAGTCCCGAAGTCGCCTGGGACGTGGACTCGACATAGTAGTCATACACCTTGCCCTTCAGCCGGGGCCGGCTGCCCTCTGCCTTCTCCTGGAGGAAGTTCTCCTCCACTCGGACCCGGGCCATGGACGAGAAGCTGTAGGAGGCGTTGGTGGCTCCATCCTGCTGAGGAAGCGCCAGGCCGGAGGTCTGGAGGGCTCCTGCCTCTTCCTTGAAGACCCTGGTGGTTCCTGCGAAGACAGGGTTCATGTCACCAGCATCTTCTGCGGGGGTCGATGGGGGCTGTTGGGGGGATGCTTGCTCCCCCACCTCTGGCTGGCTCGGGGCACTGCCATCTGGCCCTGGGACCGGGGCCACGTCCACGTCACTGCTGCCCGCTGCCTGGAGGCTGGTCGGGGAGCGTTTGGGTTCACTGCCCAGGTGGGGGTGTCGGGGAAGCTTGGGCTTACCGCCAGCTGCTACTCCTGCTTCCTGGGCCCTGCCGAGAGGAGGCGCCAGGCCCGTGTCTGGGCACTGCCCGCTCGGCTGTGTCTCGGCATCTCTTCTCTTGGGCTTCTCGTCTCTGGCAGAGGCGCCCTTCTCCAGACCCCGGGTGCCCCCCGGCTCCTCCTCGATGCAGCCTGGAGGTGCTCCGGCCCCCTGGCTGCCCTTGCGACGTCTCAGCCCCCAGAAGGAGGCCCGGGGGGCAGCTCCTGGGGTGGCAGACTGCCCCAAACCCTCTGCTTCCTCTTCAGCAGGGGCTTGGCTGGGCCCGCCTTGCAGCGAGGCCCGGGCAGGCCTGGACTTGTACAGCCGGTAGGCTGCGGTGGCCAGCAGCAGGGCTGCCGCGGACAGCACCACCTTGTCCGTGCTCAGCTGCATGGTGAAATGCCAGTCCGGGGCCTCTGCTCCTCCTCCTCCTCCTCCTCCTCCTCCTCCTCCTCCTCCTCCTCCTCCTCCACCTCCAGGGAACATGCTTCTCAGGCCAACTGGACCCAGGAATGTCAAGAATCCGATTAATGATTGCCCAATAGGGCCCGGTTCCTGGTTCCTGCCGAGCTGAGTGGGGAGGGGGTTCTGGGTCTGCTCCCGCTGCCCCAGGAGGAGCTGGAGCAAAGGTGACTCTGGCGGGCAAGAGCCAGTGGCCGGGGCCCGGGACTGGGAGTTTCTGCGCCTGGCTCCTGGCTACGGCAGGCAGCGATGTGCTCCCCGCGGGCAGGGGTGGAGGTGGGGTCTGCCCAGGGCGCTGCTGAGCTGGTGACCAGCTGCCTATGAGGGCTAGAGGGAGGTCAGGCGTGCCCAGCAGGTACATGAAGAGGGAGGAAGCTCTTAACCAAACAGTCGCTGGATGCCAGGAAACGCACCGGGTCGGTTATTGTTTGTGTGTGCTTTATTTTCTCTTTTGCAAATCCAGTGGGCTGGGAGGGCGGGGTGCATGGAGCTATGGGGCAGGTGAAGGCAGGTGTGGTTCGAGAGGTCCCGCGCTCTCTCTTTTTCCTGCTGGGGTCTGCTGACCAGACCACCTCACCCCACCCCACTCGTGCAGGGTGGATTCAGCAGCTGGAGACGGGGGTGGGGGGGGGAAGGGGTTGGGGGCCAAGCCAGGGACGCTGGCCAAGTCACATGACAAAGTCTCGAGTGAGTGTCCGCCTGCTTCTCCCCCCTCCCATGGCTTAGTAAGAGATACTGGCCTTCCGGACAGGAATCAGTGAGAACAGAGGGCATTAGCACCCACATCCGGGACAGACTTGGGCACACCCTCTCCCCCGGGGAGGGAGGGAGGCTCCTGCCCCAGCTCCCCTGTGCCTGGGGTGCTGGGTCCTCTGACTTCCTGGCTCTGTCACTCACCAACCACGTGACTCACCATCAGCTCTTGCTGCCTCCGTTTCTCCATCTGAAAAATGGGGTCATTTGTCTCAATTCCTCCAGAGACTGTAGTGAAAACAAAACAGGTTAATGTATGCAAAGCCCTAGGGCTCCGGCTTGTAAAAGTTTAGCAAACATGAGTCATTTACTTTCCTTCCCTCCTCATCCTCACTGACATCATCACTCACGGTCATGCCACCAGCTGGTCTAATGCTGCCCTGCCCCAGGCCGTGTGCCAGGTAGGGGGTGGGGCAGCAGGTAAAGGGCCCCACAGGGAGAGATCACTTAGGATTCAGAGAGTGATCTTGGCACCCTGCACCCTTAATTTCTGCATCTTGGCATCTCAAAAAAAAAAAAAGGAAATAAAACCACTCTCTGGGCCCAAGAGATGATGAGTTCAGGAAGAATTTGACTCTGATAATTTGGGGGAGAAAATCCTGACTCCACAAACCAATGACCACAGCTCATTGGATTCCAGCCTCAGTTTATCCTTTATACTCATCTCTGCCCTCCTGTCTTGCAGGCTGGCTTTGACATCTCTGAGCTTTGGGGGCCTAGGCCATGGCAGGAGAGGCCTCTCTCAGCTCTGATGAGCTTCTCTTTCTGCCCTGTCAGAAGTAGGTCACAGGCTCTGTCTCTGGGCCTTGGTCCTTCTTTTTTCTTTTTTATTTTTTTGCTTTTTGGGTCATACCCGGCAATGCCCAGAGGTTACTCCTGGCTCAGGAAATACTCCTGGCGGTGCTAGGGGGACCATATGGGATGCCGGGAATTGAACCCGGGTCAGCCACATGCAAGGCAAACGCCCTATCCGCTGTGCTATTGCTCCAGCCCCCTGGGCCTCGGTCCTTCTTAAATCATCTTTTTCTCCTTTGGGACACTTGCTTCTCCACAGATGCAAGTTTATCTGTATCCTTTTGGGTCCATGTGCCTATTTACCTGCTGGATTCTAAGGCAGGATGGACACTGACTGGTAGGTTAGAACTCTGGGGACCAACTGCAATGCCAGAACTGTCCTCCCGTTGTTCATCGATTTGCTCGAGCGGGCCCAGTAACGTCTCCATTTTGAGACTTGTTGTTACTGTGTTTGGCATATCGAATACGTCACGGGTAGCTTGCCAGGCTTTGCCATGCGGGCAAGATACTCTTGGTAGCTAATGCCAGAACAGATTGGGGGGATCTCATCAAATGGTCACTTTCCCCTTGGGCAGAGCTACAGATGCCCCCAATTTGTGATGACTCCAACACTGGCCCATTTGTTTGCTACTGGTGACTCTCATCCTGTGGCAGACTTCAGGGTTTTGTCTTATTTTATTTTATGGGGGTGCTGGACCACACCCCATAGTGCTCAGGTCTTACTCTTGGTATGTGCTCAAGAATCACTCCTGGGACCATGTGTTGCTGGAATTCAAACCGGAATCAGCCACGTGCAAGGTAAGTGCCTTACCTCACCCAGACTATCTGTTGGCCAGATGCCAGGGTTTTAAAGACCTGAGTTCATGCCCCACAGCTGGGCAACTGGATTCCTTTGCTTTTCATTCTAGTCAACAGACACAAGGATCTGTGTGTGTGTGTGTGTGTGTGTGTGTGTGTGTGTGTGTGCGCGCACGCCCCTGTGTGATCAAAAATGCAGATTTCAAGCTCCACACCCAACTTTTTATATTGGTACCTAGGAGGTGGGGACTTGTTACTCTGGGCACTTTGCATGCACAAAATCACTTAGTTTTTCCAACTCTCCAGAGGTTGGGGTTTTGTGACCTTCATTCTACAAGGTGAGGAAACTGAGGCTCAGAGGGCTGTGCCCAGGGCATGTTGGTGGTAGCAGTGTTGAGCTACAGCCTGGTCTCTCTGCACAGAGGGCCCATTGGTCTTGGGCTTCCTCTGGGAAAGTAAGCATGAGGAGTAAAGTGGGAGAAGAGCAATTTGTTCCAGGGTTGAACCAGGGCTCTCAGAGTCCCCAACTCTGGCTCTCATGGATGGGGGAGACGTGCAACCCTGCCATCTGGTGTGCACCTCACAGACAGTCTGTGTGACAGTATTCCAGAGTGCAATCCTTCCAGCCAGGCCTCACCCCCTCCCCAGTCTTTCTACTCGAAGCCAAGCTCCTGGGCACCGGTATGACCAAGAGCTTGGTCATACCGGTGCCCGGCTGATTCCGGTTTGAATTTCAGCAACACATGGTCCCAGGAGTGATTCCTGAGCACATATCAAGAGTAAGACCTGTGCAGGATTGGGCATGCGTGGGGAAGGAGAGAGGATTTCTGGAAACAGAAACAAGATCCTAGCTCCAGGGGTCCACCTGTCCTGTCCTGGAAGAAGGGGATATTTGCCAGATAACCAGCATCACGAAGGTATGATGGACCAAGGTATGATGGACAATGCACCGCCAGGGAGGCCAGGACGAGACAAGGCAAGGTAGAGCTGTAGAAAGGCATGTCCAGTGCTGGGTCACCAGTGAGAGAGGGTGAAGACATGAACGGATGCTGGACTGGGAAGATAGTCACCAGAAGCTTATCCTGTGCTGGGGTGGGGGTAGGGAGTGGGGAGGTTAGAGAGACACCTCCTGGGTTCCCTCCAGCCTGCAGAGAGAAGGAAAGAAACTGCGGAGAAAGGAAATGGCCAAGTAGACCAAGTGGGTCAGTGTGTCCCCACAAGAGCCAGTAAGGAGTCCTTGCACCCAGCTAGGACAAGAGAAGGAAGGGCCAGTGATGCAGAGGACAGAGACAGCCAAAGTCAGGAGCTAGCAAGGCATGAGAAAAGCTGGGGTGGGGGCAGGGGGGTCCCGACAGGGAATGAAGACCTCGGGATTGGGAGTGGGGGGCCGGGAGCAGAGAGGGAGGCAGACCAGCGTGAGTGACCACAGGGCACTGATCTGAACTCTGAACTCTCACTTCCCACGACCTTCCCTGCAGGGAGGGCAGGAGCACACCTCTAGGCAGCAGTGTACTCCTTAGGTGGGGGGTCCTGCCCCCACTCTTCCACCCCGGGTCAGCAAAGACTGTGTCCACGATGGTTCTGAACTGGAGGTTTCCAGAGCACATTGGAGATGATTTTCCTTTTAAAAGAGTTGCTTGTGGTTCTAAGCAGGGGGCCCCTTGCCCATGTCTCACACTGCCTTGCCGGTTGCAGAGCCACGTGGAGAAAGCACCGGGCTCATGGGGAAGGGGAGGCACCAAGCCCAGAGCAAGAGTCTTTGTTGTAGGTGAGGCCGGATAGCCAGATGGTTAGCTGGCATGGTTTCAGTGGGAGGTAGCTGGGGCCTGTCTTAGTGCCCCATCCCTGGTCTGGGGTGATTAGGGCCAGGAGAGAGGCTAAGAGCCCTGGGGGAAGGAGGCTCCTGACAGGTTCATCTGCATATCAAAGGGTACTTCTTTTGCTAGTCCTGGGAGGGATAATACTGAACTCAAGTTCATAGAGAGGGGGTCCCAGAGGTGAAGAGCACGAGAATGAGAGTGAGAAGCATAGGGCCGAAGCCTTCGAAGGCTTCGAGGGGCCGCCTTCCCCTTGGGGTGGTTGGGTGTGAGTGTTTGGTTCTCCACTGGCAGGTGAATGCGACACCCTCACTCCTTGGCTTCCAACTCCATAAATTACAGCCCCACCCCCACCCCCCCTCCCACCGCCAGTCCGTTTGGAAAAAGTGAAATGAACAAATGAAGACAGGAATGAAATTAAAAGATAATTGGAAGTCTATATTGGGCTTCTGCGAATGTGCGTGTGCGCCACCAATCTGCTCTCTGTTCGGGCAGGATAAATTGAGAACTCCCGGGTTGGCTCAGGGGGTGGATAAAACAGAGACAAATGCGTGCCATGCAAATAAACAGACCCATCTTCCAGTGATTAGCTTGGAATTCCATCCTGCAGTGCCTCGCCAGGTCTGCTAGACCCAACCGAAGTCCCTGCGTTTTCCAAGGGGGAGACCCTGGGCTAGTCTGAATCGGGGCAGGGGCGACCCAGAGTGGAAAGTCTCAGAATAGGTGGAGGGGGGCAGGGGGCAGCGGGCAGGCCCTCAGAGGCAAAGTGGAAATATCCGATGGGGGGAGATGGGGAGGTGGTGAGGCCTTTTACACGCACGTGCACGCACACACACCATGCATTCATACATGTATTCAGACACACATGTGAACTTAATCACGTGCACACAAGACACATGTGAAGACATATGTGTATCAAG